TGGGAAGCCAGGTTAGGCCTCCCAGCCCCTCTCGGGGTCTGTGTTTTGGAATCCTTGTCCCCGATCATGAGCGACAGCGCTGGTGTCAGGGCCTTTGCCTCCGAGGCGGGGTGGAGCCCATGGCCAGCTTCCTCCCCAACCGCCTCAGAGGCAGAGGCCCGACACACGGTTCCGCCGCCTTCTCCAGGCCCGGAAGACTGAGCTCTGGTCCTGAGCCCGCAGACTGTCGATGGCACCTCAGCCATTAAAGTCGGGAGATTTCACACACACACACACACACACACACACACACACCCCGGGAACCCCAACGTCTGGCCTCTTTGGAACGGTCAAAAGGTTGGCAACACAGAGCCTGTGTCCTCCTGGCCCCGCCCACAGGGGGCATGGTGGCTGCCTCCTGCAGGAGATCTTGGGGGTACAGTCCACACTGCCCCTCACCTGCCTTACCTGGTGGCCCTGGAGGCAGGGGCTTTGTCACCTGCTGTTTAGAGGCCCGATGTGAAAGCCCCACCTCTAACCCTCCTCAGGGTGAGTCCAGGGCGTGGGGCGCGCATCCCAGAATGCTCTGCCAGGAAGACGGCAAACGTGCTCGCATCAAAGTCCTTGTGTGCATTTTGGGTTCTTTCCCAAGGAGAGGGTCTGCTGGCGGCTGGAGCTCAGCTCTAGGGCGGGTCGCCATCCTGGGACCGGCCCACTGGGGGCTGGTTTCCCCGCCCAGGGCTCCCGCCGAGCCAGGTCACCCTTGCCTCCGGATGGGGTGCACGCCCCTTCTCACCCCTCCGCAACTCCTGCGAGGCAGGCTGGGAGCTGGGGTGGACGCAGGTCCCAGATGTGCCCTGCTCACTGGCAGGCCCGTCTCCGCAGGCAGCCTCACCAGGAACCACTCAACGTGGAAAATCCTAGGGGCTGGGCAAGGACGGAGCCTGGCTTCCTAGTGCCTACCGTTTACGCAATCTGGGGAGCCTTTTAGGAGCAAAGAATATAAAGTTACAGATACAGAGGTAGGCACAGGCCTTGGCGGGGGCCTGTGCAAGGCACGCATCCTGAGGGGCAGCCCCCTGAGCCTCCCGGTGAGCTGCCCCTAGCGTGAGCCCAGAGGGTACAGGGGTCGCAACATCTACTGCATCTGCCCGCAGACTTGCCTGGGAGCTCGGGCCGGCTGGGTCCTGGGTGGGAGAGGCTGCCGAAGGCTGGCAGGCCCGGGCCAGGTGTCTCTCAGCTGGAGTCCCAGGTGTGGCCTGATGCTCGGACACAGGGAGGGCTGGGCCGAGGCCTGGGCGTGGGCTGGAGGTGAGCAGGGCTCATTGTGACCCTGGCTTTGTGCTGGCAGGTGGAGAGCCTGAAGGAGAAGCTCATCAGCCAGGCCCAGGAAGTGAGCCGCCTCCGATCAGAGCTGGTGAGGCCACCATCGCGTCCCGCAGGGGGCAGCGGGCGGGCGGGGCCGATGTGCAGTCTGGCCTCCGGACGAGGGGTGAGGGGTGTGAGCCCAGCAGCCCAAGGGGGCAGCGTCCCGCCTGGGAAATGCTCCCGGATACTTACTACCTTCACTAGGCCCTCTGAGGTCACGTGACGCCCTCCTGGGGCAGGAGGTGACTTCTCCCTTGCGATGCGAGGTCGGAGTGTGAGCTCTGTATAAATACGACTTGTGACTTTCACACTCAGGAAAATAGGATGCTGGGGGTGGGGTGCTGCCGGAGCAGTGCCTGTCTCACCGCCCTCTCCATCTCTCTCTCCTGTCTTCATCTTTCTCTCCTGAGCCCCTTCTCTCCCTCTCTCTCCTTCCTTCCTCTTTTCTCCTTCTCTCTGTCTTTCTCCGCCCTCTCCCTGCCCTTGCACACACTCTGCCCTCCCCGCTTGCTTCCCCGTGACCACCCCGGCCACATGCCCCCTGGGCTGACTCCACAGGGAGGCACGGACCTGGAGAAGCACCGGGACCTGCTGATGGTGGAGAATGAGCGACTGAGGCAGGAGATGCGGCGCTGCGAGGCCGAGCTGCAGGAGCTGCGTGCAAAGCCG